AAGCCAGTAAATGGCGCTGACCCAACGGTTTCCACAAAATTAACATTGAGTTGGGCGTATTATAGTCTATAGTATTTGGTAAAAGTGAAGTTACTATTGATACTACTTCACATCAAAACAGACAGATGACTCATTACAGACTGTCAGCTCTTCTTATAATCTAATAGTGGCACATACAACCAACTTAGAGCGTATTCACCATTGTAACTTTAACAGAAGATGAGCAAGACCACAACAGTGCTTGTATCAACATAGGCGATAAAATAGTTAAGAATGTCAACGAATACGTTTGTCTAGGTTATACACTCAAACTGGGAAAAGAGAATCAAATATCGGAGTTAACTAGACTTAAACACATACTAAAGAACACTGAAATACCAATGAAACTATAATGAGAGGTCTATGAAAATGCATTTTTACGGTGACAACGCATGGATTGAAGACAACAACATTGACTCAAAACGCTATAGAACGTGCTATGTTGGGGATTTCCCTTGCAGACGTAATATTACGAGTGGTCAAGTTAAAGTGGAGCTAGGTAGGGAATGTCGGACTCCAGAATAGTGAAAATTGAAGTATCAGAGTTGTACTTTAGAGACCCTGAGAAACAACGAAAAGTATAGGTATGCCCTTGTGGCATACCTATACTAGATAGATGATATCAGGGAAGAAGAAGGTCAACCCTAGTTTCGGATAGGACAAGATCGAGAGAAGTGAAAGAGAGACGGAGAAGCGTATGTCCAAAAACGGATGGATAAGGAAGAAGACCCACCTAGCGCAACTATACCAATAGAAATGATAAAATATTTGTGCAATTGCATTATCACGATATAGGTAGCCGGTAGTATTTCTCAACGATACCGGTAGAGGATAGACCGCTACAGGGCTTGGCGAACTCTACCTTACGCTAGCTACTGATTTTTCTCAACGTGATTGAGCCCCAAGAAAGTCAGGCCTTTAATCCTTCAACTTGGAATTCATCCTTCCCATATCCCACTCGCATCCCGCTAGGCAAGCGTGGCGTTTTAAAGCCAACCATCTTCTAACCCCAAGGAAATGTCGAATTCAAAAACAAAACTACCCCAATTGGATAGAGCATGATGCTCGCAATCTTGCACTGAAACATCAGTCTGCCGCATGGGTTCTGGGGGGGCAAAAGTTCGGTACGAAATGAAAGGAAAAAGAAGTCCTTACTGGTTACCACATACAAAATCCGAACTACGTGACTAGCAGAACATCTGTAGCAATAGAGCTAAAAACATGGGACAGCAGAGAACTGTGTGAGACAAGAATGCGAGAGAAGACATCTACCGTGCTTAAGTCAGGATATCAACTTTTCCGAAGGACCTCCACCGACCACTATTGTTTGAGAGAGTAGCTCTTCTCGTCCACCATAGACTCAAACGCTAAATCGCCAACAGCAGAGCGTTATCAGACTGAGTTATCTACTTTGAGTTAAGTCGCAGAAGAGGAAGTGGGACAGTTCTACGAAGAAAGCGCGACAGCTATGAGCTTGGAGCGAGCATAACACACGGTGATTCCAGGCGATTTTAGCGCTAAAATTGGAGAGAAACAAGTGGGAGACCCGGACAACTTTGGTTCATATGGCATGGCCAAGAGAAACGACAGCGGACAGTTGCTCTTAGAATTCCTAAACAAGGAGAACCTGACGTTTCTGAATAAAGAGTCCAAGCAACGAAAGTGGACGAGGAAAGAGTCCAAGCTACGATATTGATTATATCCTAACCACAGCGAAACAACACTACACCGATTCATTTGTTCTAGATCGTTTCAATATACGAAGTGACCACCGGCTTAGAACAAACATATGTAATAAATACTCGCTCAAAAGAAAAAGATGATCCAGAAAAAATTGTCAGCTACCCTACTTGAACTCCAACACAAGAGAGATAAATATCATTTCTATATAGAACAAAAACTTCAATCTTAAGAGACGCTGAAAGATCCTTAACACCGATCCTTAACATCCGATCCAGAAAAGTAACCAAAAGCATCCAAACCTCAGTGAACCAAGTATGCTCACTACAAAAGGGCAGGCCATCAAAGCTTAGTGCAGCAACAATAAATCTGCAAAAGACTCGAAGAGAAATGGATCGAGATTAGCCAGACTAGAGCGTCATTGACATGAAATTAAAGAGAGAGATAAGGAGTGGTCTTAGATACCCTAACACGCATCTTATTAGAATTTAGAAGGAATTTAGATGACAAGAGGAAAACAGACCAAACGAAAAATGAGAAATGCACAAGAAACAGTAATGTATGAAGAGCAGGAGATCGTGACCATAATTCAAAGCTTTTACCGGAAGCGCTACAGACAGGAAATGCCAGACACAGGTTACCAAAGAGATAACAGAGCACAAATTCTAAATGTGGCATCAGAAGAAATACGGGAGATCGACACATCCGAACTACGGGAGGAACTGAGATCTACGAAAAAGCGCAAGGCTCTAGGAGAAGACCGAATTACGGCAGAAATGCTGAACGAAGTTGGCAGTAATACTGAAAAAAGTAATCCTCATCCTGCTGAAAAAGAAGGACCGCATCGCCGAAGCGTGGAGAAACGCCGAAGTCAAAATCCTATTTAAGAAAGGCCACTGGAGCAACATTGAAAATTACGGCCCCATCAGCGTCCTATCTATCTTGTACAAGTTACTTAGTAAGGTCCTGACCAGAAGCCTGAGTAAAAAATTACACTTCCACCAACCCATGGAACAAGCGGGATTCAAAAGAGGCCATAGCACCACCGACCAGATCCAGACTGTGCGGGCAATGATGATAAATTTAGAGAATACAATGTCCCACTTCACCCTGGGTTTGTTGACTATCCAAAGGCATAAGACTTGTTAAATGAATGGGAAGCACTAAATGAATTGTATAAAGCTAGTGTCCACTTACAATACTACACGCTGATAAAGAACTGCTTTGAAATGCGACTTTTCCCGTGAAGATAACAGAAATCCCATAAAGAAAGGAGTTAGACAAGGAGACTCAATATCCCCAAAACTTTTCGCCTTGGCTTTGGAAAAAGTGTTCAAGACCTTGCTGGAATGGGAGTTAAACGTCATTAACATTGACGGGAGGTATTTGAATCATCTACGTTCTGAAGACGACACTGTCTGTACTGACGACACATGGTAAAGGAGCTAAAAGAATGTAGCTAAGTCCAAGATCATGAGTCCTTATAACACTTAAATCATCCTAGACAACCTTAAAATTGGATCAGTGGATGAATACGTAAAGCTAGGCCATAAAATAAAGTTAGGGAGTGAAAACCAACAAGGATGCGCCGCACTTGGGCAAAGCATGGTAACCTCTCAGGACACGCCCTCTGCAAAAAACACCTGGAGGGGGTGCGAAATAGAGGACAAAACTACTCTACATATCAAGTGTCATTGCAAGTCATATGCAACGACTCCTGGGAGGGATGAAGTTCTACCAGATGAGGTGGTGCGTGCGAACCTCAAGATTCTTCTGGAATTCATTGAATACACAGGGATGATGAGGGAGTAAAATACGAGGGCACAATAGGACAGAAATGACCGCGGTGCTTGGCCAAACACCACCTCGGCGGTGAGGAAAGGGTGTTACTGCGTAAACAGCTTAGCTGGAGTCTCACACAGCCCAGAGCGACAGATCACTAGCTCTGGGTGTGCGTAACAGAGCATTTCCTAAACCTCACCGAGAAAAATAATGGTAACCTCTATGACAAGATAAGAAATCCCAAAACTCCAATTAATCTAAAGCGGAGGGTGAGATAACCTTCCTTGAGGCTATGATATATGAAATAGAAAATCTGCTACAGTTTGAACCTAGAAAAAATTGTTTATTTGTTGTAGGGATTATCTGGCTCTTACACCACAAGTGTGAGTTTACAGGATATTTTGTATATGTTATCCCATGGTAATAGTAAAGATTTATCTTCCAATTCTGTATTTTCGTCGTATCAGCTTCTAAAAAATMACTTTGCATCAAGTTAATTGGAAATCCGCGTCTCGATCGTCGCTCGGCATATCTATATTCGCTTAAAACTTTTATACTGACAAACAACTGATACCCATAGGAAAATGTCCACTTAGAAATAGGGCCTGTTCTTAGTAGGTCAAAGGGGAAGCAGAGTGTTGCGTGACTTTACTTGCGAGATTCGCATTTAATTTATTATTTTTTATTATGATTTTATCATTTAAAAATGCAATCTTCCACCTTATAACTATCAGTAAATTTTGGTCATTATAAACCTTTTCCAATTGAAATACGCGTTGCACTGGAATGCTTTGCATGTTAGAATTTCACATTCGACACACACAACCACTTTTAAATGCAGATTGCAAGATTGTAAAAACTGCCGGTATAAAATATTTCGGAAAAATTTCCGCGAACCTTTTGTTAGTAAATGCAATAAGAACCATTAACGTATTATGCACAAAATTACCTTTCAGCATTCAGCTGTTGACATGCTATCACTTTTACTTTCTTCAACAATTTTCCCTTTTTTTAACTTCTTTCATTTAACACACTGACAAGATTTAACGAATTTAAAGCTTCCCCCAAGGAAGATGCACTTACTTAATTTTATGAATGATATACATATCTTAATTTTTGAAGAGCACGCTTTAAAAACTAACCACAAACGTAACTCGGACAGGTGGTGTTATACATATTAGTGGTCTGTACTATTATTCTGGGACATTACCAGTAATCTTTAGGAGTGCCACCAATCTTTAAAAATTATATGTAGTAATTTCCATTAGCCGTTTTAACTGAGCGAAACATTCAAGAGATATGAAAATATCACACTACAAGTCACAACTACTGCTTCAATGTTTTCTGCTAAAAGTTCAGCTGGATTTTTCAGGCTCGCCATACAAAGATTTCCATGAAAAAAATCATTGCAGAAGCATTGATCATTTTAAGTCGACGTAGGTATTATTTCAAATTCAATAATAGAAATATGAACCAAAGACCATCAAAAGCTAACATATTTTATTCATGTGGGAATCAAACTGGCGGTTTTATGTGTGTATGTTCAAAGTGTTTCTTCATATGGGTAGAAATTATATATAATTGAACTGACTTGTTCAATATATAATTGAAGTGCCTTGTTAAAAAACAATTTTTTGCTTGTACATTTAAGAGTCGCAATATCGAGCAAATAAGGGACGAAACATCAAATGTATAAAATGGCTAAAATCATAATAATAATAATAAATGCTACTAAAATCAACAAGATAATATTTTTATAGAGATTAAAATATTTCCAAAAATTCCATACATAGCATAGTACGTAAACGAGAGAATACTACAGACTACGCTAAAGATGAAGAACACGATGACACATTTGCTGAGCATTAGAGTGTAACGCAGAAAGCGGCACGGACACAAAAGCTCCACACAACACCGTGTTACCCAGTGTGCGACGCAAATCCGCCATATTTGTTCTTACTGTGATTTCGATACAAAAAAAATACTTCAAAATTTGTTGTATTGTTTGATGATGCAACCGCGCCCAGGTAGCACAACTGATCAATTAGACGTCTGCGAGACGTCCATATTAAGTCATTTTTGGTCAGTACGTCAATTGACTTAGAAAAGACGTTAATACTTGGACGTCTGTTAATCAGATATATATGGACGTCCGTCCAATGGACCGCCGAGGATGGTCATTTTTTAGTCACTAAAATAAGCTTTATTTCAGACGTCCTTATGTTCACTAAATGACGTCTCGCCTTATTTGGAGAAAATTTTTATCTAACTTTAAATGTCTCTTTATAATAATTTTAAATTTTCAGTAATTTATTTTTTAATTGCCTGTCTGTCAGCATTGCATAAGGATGAATCCTGCTCCCAACACTCTACAGTCAGGACACAAAATTCATTTAGTTCTTATTTTCAAAAGCCAAAGCGAAAGGAACAAACCAGACAGACCAACATAATTTTTTTAATAATATTAAATATAATCTTTAAAGATTAGATAGATTAGATTAGATAAATTACAATCAACCTCTATGATTAGACAAATTAACAATAATTCTCGTCTGTCCCTCTGTCTAAAGTAAAATTAATTGTGTGATTGTCTATTATGCCATTTATTTCTTGTCAATTTGTTCGCGCCAAGTTGATTGGATTTTAGTTAGGTTAAAAACGCAGATCCCCGGCACTTTGGCGTGACTGGTATTCTGAACTTGTACTTTGTACTTGTCTTGTTTTATGTGATTAATGTGTTAATGGGCTGTTAGTTCACTATTATACGAAACTTTTCACACAATGGTATGTAACACCTATTTATACATTGTATTTATAGTTGTACCGAGCTTTTCTATTGTGGTCTGGGATAAATAGTGGAACGCTTATAAGTAACAGTGTGTGGTCTATTCAGAACTATGTGCCGAGACAATATATGTATGTAGATAGGTATATACTGTCTTTTGCCAACTTTCTTTCTAAAAACAAGATCTGGCTGGTTTGGAGCCACAGAAGTAACCCAACTTTTGAAGAACAAAAAGCATAATTTTAATATAAAAGAATAAAACATTGGTTTTTAATTGTGAAGGTAATATAAGTAGTATTACTTTCCGATTAGCAGGTGTGAAACTGTGATATACTTGTAATGTATCAGATGGTACAGTTAGACGAATTTGCGGGCAGTACCCTGGCAGTGATCAACCAGAACTGGCTCACACCACTCAAGCAAGAGATACTGTGACCTCCGATTAAGGGGAGGAAAGCGTTTAGAGAGGCTCTTACTGACGGAGTCCAAGCTGACAGCAATTGGAGGCCTTTTGAAATAAAAAGAGTTTTCTTTCGAACGGGTTCCTAATAATAGTAGTTTTTTTTTATCTGTCCTCCGGTTTTTATTATTATTTTTGTGGCTGGTCAGAACTACTTTTAATTAATTAAAGTTGTAACCATCTTTGCTTGCTTCCTGTCAATAAAATACGATTTAAGATTCTATAGTGTCTTATTGTAACCAAAACATTTCCTCAATATAAAGTAATTGTACTGACCATGTACAGACCTAAAACCGACGTTTAAGTGACGTCAATAAGCAGACGTATGGCCGACGTCATTAAACAGACGTCTGGCAGATGTGTCATGCAGCGGTCATTTGGACGTCCAAATGACCAGCTATCTGACGTCTTCTGGCCGAATCTCATGTCGTCGTTTAGACGTCCATAAGACGTAGTGTGCTACCTGGGCGTGAAACTGCTTTCGATATTCCTATGCTAATGACTAATTTTCGCTGACCGCACGCAGCATCCCGCTTTTGTCTGTTTGCAACCTCCGCGTTGATGGTGGTTGCAATAATTTGGACTGAAAATGCGTTGGTGCACAAAGGCCCAAACCCCCAGGCCTAGTTCAAGGTGTTGCACCGTAAACAGCGACACACACACAGAGCGCCACCAACACAAATGTGCAACACAAGATAGTGTTACCCTGGCCTAATGAAAGGACAGCTGGCAATCAACATCTCAAGAGATGCTAAGGCGACCCAATTAACAAATTGAAAGATCTAGTTAAAGGAGGAGAAGAAAAAGAGAAAAATGCACAAAACATTGGAAGCCTCTGCTTAGACATAGTTAGTAACACTGTGGTGGGTTCGGCTTTTCTTCTTGTTCTAACTCACTGCGCCGCACTTTAAATTGCGCTCAGCATTTAACCCAGGAGCAGATTAGAGCTTTATGTTTTCCAGAACTGGCATTTTAATAGCTAAGAAAAGGACATCATATTTTTTAAGTAACGTTTTTTCAAGTAGGACTGCACGGCTCAGTTATTGCTCCGGTGCGTGATGTTGGAAAAAATTGGAAAGTTAGCTCACAGTGTGAATTTGTTACCGAATGAGCTATTGGTTACCCACTTCATCATAAATTCAACTTGAAGTCATACTTCAAATAAAATGCAAAATTTCAATATGATATACAAGATTTGGCCAAAGTGTTGTTGATTATGCCACTTTTTCGCCCACTTCTCAGCAGCACAGGATAGAGCATTAAATGGCACATTCTGACTAATTAAGGCATGAGTTCTGGGGCTAGCTCGTGATGCAATAGGACAGAGGAGATTGAAAAAAAATAACACAAAAAGAACGAATATGATCATAACCACCAGACGATAATAAAATTAAGCTCCAATGTAAATTTTGATTAAGTCTTGAATCGGAACTTTTAAAGGACATTTTTAATTATGTCAAATTTCGTTGGTTTCTATCATCGCTTGGAAGTCGAGTAACACTTTCACTTTAAAGTGATTTTTTGTTTAGTCCATATTTTTATAAAAACAAAATACATTCCGTTATTAAATTTAGTTTTTGCGTTGCGCATTAATCGCTGCGACTGGCTCTAAATTTAAAATAAATTTAATGATTGGTGGGCGTTTGGAGCTTTGTTAATTTTCGTGATGGAACGTTAGTTTTGTCTTTGGAAATATTACCATGCAAACAGGCCTTCTCTACAAAAATTTCAACAATAAATGAACTGAAATAGAGCTGCTAAGTAAAGCATCGAAAGGACAAACAAGCAAAAAAAGGTTATATAATCATTTTTATTCTCTAGTTTTGTTTCGACAAGATGTATAAATATTCTGTTTGCTACCGACAGTGGACAAAATTGGTCGATAGTTCTTTGTGTCGTGTGTAACTAGGCGTCTAATCAAAGTGGTTTGCCACAACTAAAGTTCATTCCAACTAATATTTAGTAAGCGCATAGGATTAAACGTAGTTGACTATTTGTATGTCCGCATCAGCATCATGTAAGAGTAAGCAGCTTTGATTACCTACAAGTTCTGAATATAAAAACCTGAAAGCTTTCAATTTGGGCACCTACTGAGATAACGGATTCAACAGTCATCGGGCCAAAAGGTCCAATAGAAATCACTGAAACATGCTGATATTGCATAAGCATCATAAGGAACATTTTCCTATTTTTGGTGTCCAGATAATGCCAATTCATATTATAAAGATCGGCAGCTGTAGCTCGACTCTAGAACGATTTGTCAACGGATTTTGTAGCCAATTAAATTGAGTCTTCTCACCTGCACTATGATGTCATTTGCAAACAATCCTAAAACCAACACTTGCGCAATCTGCATTAGTAAGAAACACGTGCAAAACACCAAATCGCCACTTCTTACCTGAAGTAAAATTATTTTACATGAGAAGCCGGAATTGTAGTTAAAAGTGGAAATTAAATTGAATGAGAAAACACAAAATACACATTTTGCGTACAAATCTACCTCTACATTTTCTCTCAAAAGTCTGTCTCACGCAGTTTTATTTAAGTAAACGTTCGGCACAAATATAATGTTCAGTTCAGTGTTTAGTTATTGCGTGCAAACCGATTAAATTATAATGCATTTGAACTCAATTTTTTTTTTTGAGACAGAATAAATTTGTTTAAGAAAATATTTGTAAATTCAATAGTTAGGTAATAAACAAAGATTAGCACTTTTCTAATTGTTGTCATATGCGATGTTTTTGGTTTTAATGCATCTTCAATTTAATCCAATAAAGTTCGTCTTGAAGACATTCAAATTTAATTCACTGCAGTTTTTTTGAAAGTTTGCTTCGATTATATGGTAATTTTTTCTTATTGGGTTGAAACTATTTAAGCACATGGATTAATTTAACATAACCCAACGATGGAGAATGGACCAAACTAAATAAAAAAGAATATGTATGAGACAATATGTAACAAGAAGATATGTAATATGATGATATGTAACAAAGAATATGTAAGAATATATATGAAGTAAGAATATAACTTTCGATTCGTGTAAAAATTAAACAAAGAATGACGTTTGCTTGATACTTGCGAATTTTAAATCAATTAAATCAAAAGCACATTTGGGAACATTGAAGTTATTACTTAAACGAAAGATGCATTTTCAAACTTACATGTGAAAAGTATGTTGCAAGAGAAGCAATATTGATGGAATTTAGGACAACATCAACCAAAACGACAAATCTAATAGATTTATCTACACGCTTAATAAATCTAAAAACAAGAAATGGTTTAAAATTTGATAATCTCTAGGCGGCGTGTCGTTTCGCTAAAATGTATGCGATGATCTTCATTGACT